CACGACCGGAGAGAAAACGACAGAAAGGCGTTAACCGGTGGAAAGGGTAGTTGAAGGAATTAAAAAATCAATGGAGGGAGGAAGAAGAAGAGAGGAAAAGAGAGCGTGATACGGAGGTTGGAATGGGGGTTTAAAATAGTAAGGTAAGGTACCTTACCTAGTAGGCACTGGAGGTGGGAAGATGGGATGGATGCCCCTCCACCTACCTCACTGGGGTGTGGTACAACAGGTACAAAGTTACAAGTCGGGGCCAACTCGAATCGACAATCACAGAATGACACAACGGGATAGGATAGAACGCACGGAGTAGATACTGTACATACATACTAGCGGTGGCATCAAGGGATATGTACTGGATTGGATGGCAAGTGATTGATCCCTGGACTAAGCTGGTACTGTAGGTTAGTAGCTTGGAGCACTCGGCATTATCTTGGTACCTACCAATCTACTAGGTAAGGGAGGGACGGACGGGGTGTCTGGATTGAGTGAGTGTTTTACGGTACCAATTGAGGCATTGGACGAACGATGCAGACTCTTCCGCTCCCAGGTTAAGAATGGAAACTGAGGTGGTCAGTCCAAGCGTTTAACGCCGGCCACTGTGGGCATTTCTTCCTTGAAGGCCTGGATGGGCTTCCGTCGAATCCAAGGGGAAAAAGCCATGGATTGGGGATTAAGCGTGGGGCGCGTCTAGTCCAGTAATTTCAGTTTCCACAAATTCATGCTGGCACATCTACCACCTAATCTCGAAGGGCTAATAAGAGAGCATGATTGATGATGGGTTGACGATCAATACAATGAATGCTCTTGTATGTAGCTCAGTGCTGTGAAACCATCTCGTCGGATGAAACGAGTGTGTTTGAATTGCCATCCACCGGCATCTGCACTATCTCACATTGTGTCTTGTTGTGCTTCTATCAGTACCTACCTACACTTGGATGCCAAAAGTCAGTTACATACGTAAGGTACACAAATCAATGGGCCGTATCACTGAAGGATTAGTTAGCACCTACCTAGGTAGACTCTGCCGGTGGTGTGAAGTCTGCTGATGTGTTGTCCCTTGCCACTTGGTGAAGAACAGACTGTTGTAACATCCGTAAACAAGGCGGTTATCAGTTGGTCATGAGGATGTTTACTTGTCACTACACAGTATAAAGAGGATCGACATAAACAAACATTTTTAACCATCTTGCCCTCTACTAACATATTTCACCACCACCCCGTACACCCCCCGACCCCGCACACCTCAACACTATCAACGCGTCATTAATATTAGCTACTTTATTTACTTCTATAAAATTTAAATTAAATCCTTTTTTTTTCTATTAATAGAAATAAATTTACAAGTATTAGATTATAAATATAGAATAGCATTAGCCATTAAGGACTAAAAATTAATAGGATTGTAACCTTTGGCGCGAAAATATTTAATTAAGCTATTAACTTTAAAGGATCGTTACGCTGGAGCCTAAGACATTAGAAATGGCATATTAGAAAGACTTATTGCTAATGGTTATATAGGAGGAAGACCTTATGAACTATATTATTAAAAGAGAATGTAGTTTTTAGCCGCTAATAAAGCAGAAAATATATAACTTTGTATAAGCTTTAGCAATAGTTAATAGGGACGTCTTATATCTTAGTAAGAACTAGGTTAATAGATTTATATTATGCTATAAGATAATAGAAATAAAGCTATTAAGAGTTATAGATACTGTAAGGAAGCGTTATGTTATAAAGGAGACGCTTATAGAGTACTATAACGGTCTTACCTATATTATTAAGTCTAAAAAGATCCTATAGTCTAATTTATATAACGTTAATAAGACTAGGGTCTAACTAGGGGAAACTAATAGCAGGACTGTAGTCAGGACCGTTATAACTTCTAGTTTAGAGTATATTAAGTTAGACAATTTGACCTAAAGCTCGGTTTTAGAGTCTATATTAGCAGACGGTTAGCGTCTGACCTTAACTGTTATTTTTACTAGTAAAAACCTCTAAGGATAGTAGTTTCTAAGCATTTTCCCTAATTAGAAATATACTATAAGTCCTTTGGGTTAGTCTAATGCTAATATTTTCCTTAAATGGTTTATAGAGGTATTTATACCTAAGACTATGTTATTAGACCTGTCTTAATAAAGACTTCTAGTCCTGGACTAGTATAAGTTATATATAATAGTAAAACTAATAAAAAAGGCTTAGTTAAATAAGATTTGGCTCTCTTAGTTACCCTTATATTCTTTATATATTACATAGCTGCTTAATATTACTATATTTAGGCTATTAAAATAGTACTATTACTAGTTAACTTAATTTTAGGCCTTGTATAAAGCGACGTTACTATATTAGTAATAACTATTCCTAAAAGCTTATAAAGAGGCTTCTTGGAAAGCCCTAACTTAGAGGAACATTTTAAGTAGCTTCTTGGCTACTGGTCTCTTTCTAATTGATATTAAGAAGGCTTTAAAGTTATTAAAGCCTAAGGAGAAGAAATGCTGGTTATTTAAGGGGCCTATAATACTAAGAAAGCGGCAGGTAGTTAAGGAGACCTTATAGGGAACGCCTTAAGGAAGTTAAGATATTAAAAAACAGCTTTAAGAGGCTTAAAAAAATAGAATTCCCTTAATCTGTAACTTTAATTATATTATAAGGAAGGCAATAAAGTCTATTAACTAAAAGAATAGTTAAATATAACGCCTAGAAGAGGAAAAAGCTATACTTAAAGCATTAATAGCAGTAAAAGCCCCTATAGGCTAAGTCTCTGTTTAATTTAACCTAAACTAAGCTTTTCCTGCAATTAAATAGATTATTATAGCATAAGATTAAGCCAAGAAGAATGCATTATGTTAGGTTAAAGAAAATATATAAAAACTACGTAGAAAAAAGCCGCTAAAAATACTAATAGTAGAGAGGACGTTCTTTAATTAGTATTTAAAATCTTAGAATAATTAAATAAATACTTATTGCTGTGTAATTAATTAAAGTTATCTACAGATTACGTTGTAAGGTTATCACAGGTGTGCGGGGTCGGGGGGTGTACGGGGTGGTGGTGAAATATGTTAGCTTCCAAACTCTTCTCGTTATCCGTATTTTGGCTAGTGTTGTCCATGGTGCTGCATCACTCGTATACATTCATCTCACTTGTGTCAACAAACACCTCAACGTCTAACTACCTATGGATGACAAGAAACTCTCAAGAGTGCTCAGCCACATACCAAGAGTCCAGCAACTCAAGCTTTCCGTTTCTAAGACAGGTTCAAGGCCTATAGGACATTGACATCACTTGCTGTCCTCTCTTTTTCGTTTCTTGGCCTGAATTTCGCTCAACGCTGAAATGCAATCGACCCACCAAAGTCGTCGTAATGCATTTTAAGCTATCGGCACACGCCTCCCCTTGCTCATGCATGACACTCCCTTTCGGCTGGAGCAAGCGCCTCCTGATCAGCGATTGGCGCGCCGCTGAAACTCGTCTCGTAACCCCTTGAGGCTCCTTTTTAAACGGCTCCAGCTGGTGGCACAGTCCCTCTGTCGCCTTGTTCATCATGATGCTTGGTGAAAGCTGGTCTGGGGTTGGCATTAAATGTCTGAGTAGGTACCTACCTCACCTTTGGTGAATCGAAGAGTTCTTTTTTGGTATAATGCTTCGGTCGCAGGTTTGGTTATCAAGATCCAGAATCAAGACCTTCGTCTCATAAGCAAGGTATTCAGGTACCTTAAGCTTAAAAGAACCTTCTGAATTCTTTCATCCATCTCACCTGCAGATTCAATATGATCGGCAGGGGTCATTCTGCCACTCCCGTGCCGCTAAACTTCAGTGGATCCCGGGCTCTCACGTTCATGGGCCATACCGTATTATCCCATTGAAGAACAAGAATAGAAATTTGAACTTGTCGTATGGCTTAACTAGGCAGTACTTAGCTTACTAAAATACTGCTACTGGTTATCAAGCACTCACTATTGTTTAGACTGTTTCCGTGTATTGTATCAAGATACAGGCAGATACCGTATATCTTGAGTCTTAACATATCTTCATCCCAGGTACTACATGACTGCTAAGACTGGATCCATATGACGATGAATGGCACTTGACATGGATTTTGCTTGGTTTTATCTCCTAGACCCGTCAAATCAACCGAGGCCAAGGCCAAATTTCAATCGTCACGTCGATCACCCTGCACTGCCTCATCGCAAGCTCGTCTCTGAAGACTCTGATCCCTCATCCCTCTCAACCACTCGCCTCAGCACTCTCACCGCAACGCCAATATCACATCTCGCCTGCTGCATAATTAAACTCAGGATCTGGGCGCTCAGCCAAGAATGACCCTCGTGTGAAACACTGTGGTTCTTCACAATACCAGAGGCCCTCTTTTCATCTGGTAACCTCACCTGGGGTGCGTCACATCCCCTGCCAGTACATGCTCCAAATGGCGGGTCACCACTCTATCTCAGAGCCAAGAAAATGCTTGGCTTTGTTTAACTGCAATAGGAGGTTCCAAGTGACACTTTGGGTAAGGGAGCCAAGAAAACGTGAGACCTCAACCCCAAGTGACGGAAATATTAGCCTAGTTTAGTGTATATTAGTAGGCTCTTCAACCAGTTAATTTTGTCACCTTAACTTAATGTCAGAGGCTTTATTACCCCCATGGTTTGGATACCCTGGCCTGCAAGAGGAAGACTGTATGATCATCATTTGGATTCCCAACTCATCCTACATAAGGTACCTAAAATTGACTCCAAGTCTCAGCACGTCCGACTTAAGTTTGGCCAGCATTACCCCATAAGCTAACGTCAGAACACAGGTGATGGTCTACTCCGTAGTCAGCCTTCTATTGCACACATTCTATCTTATCTTAAACACATCGGGTCACATCAGCGACCTGTCATCCTAGTCAACATTCTTGGCTACATAACTCCGTAAGAACTCTACAGAAACAATCAATCGACTAAGGAGGGGTATCAAAAACTGAATCCAACGGTTATGTCTATTTAGCTTTCATCAATCATCACGTAATCTTAAAGAGGTCCTCAACCCCTTGCCAGCTTCCCTTCGCGCGCTCCTCCCAGTAACTATCCTTTCCTGTCTTGAGCTTCCATACTTCCTCTCCCTCTGGAGCGTTCTCGACCTTCACGAACCATCGAGGCTTGTATGTCTCACCCCGCTCTTCGAGCTCTCGGCGTCGACCGCGCTGAGCTTCCTCCAGCTTCTGTTTCAGGTCCTCAGCATCATCGACTGCGCCTTGTTCGTATGCACGCTGATCAGGTCGCAGGCGACAATCCGTAGGAGGCAGTTTGCCCTTCTCGATCTCTGTAATTTCGTTCAAGCTGGCAGCAAAAGTTGTAAGGCCGAATGTCTGGGCGGCATTTTCCACCAGTGGTCCAACACGCCAAATTTCCTGGCCGCCGCCTTTGCCTGTTGTCTTCAAGCTATTGGTCCATGTACCTACCAAGCCGCTGCCTGTGTTTACTCCTTCGGGGTTGAAAATTTCCACACTGACATCCTCAACACGTCCACCCCACATGCCCTTGCTCTTGAACTCAACAGCAGCCTTGTGACATGTACTGTCATTGACGACATGCATTGTGCCTACAGGCTCGACGTACTTTTCGCCCATGACCACGTTACGCAAGAACATAGTAGCAATATTCCATGAATATCGCTCTTCGGAGCCATTTGATAGACGTAGCACAATTCGAACACGGCCGTCTGTCGTGATTTCAGCGCTCTTACCCCAAAACTTCTGACCGGGGGCTGGTGATTGGGAGAACGACCAGTTGGCTGAGTCTGCTTGCATGGCGAGGAGAAGAGGTCGATGTTGGACCTTCTCGACTAAGAGTCTGAAACCTCCGGGCACCTCCTTTTCGCTTCGAACCAGTTCAAAGGTTTCGCCCAGTAAGGGTGTGAAAGGCTTCCGGATAGCACGCTCTTTGGCTCGACCACTGCTGAATTGCGAGACTGCAAACGCTGCGACGAATAAGAGTCTGTCTGTAGGAGAAGATTGCTTTGCAGCTTGGTTTAGTAACTGTGCGTATTCCAACTGCTCAGCCACCTTTTGGCACATAGATGACGGTTCGTTCGAGGTAACGGGCATACTGATGGTACTAAAATCCTTGCCGACATTTTTCCTGAAGAACGCGATTAAACTCGGTGCGGCCGCAGCTGCAGGCGGTATGGTTGATCTCCTGGCAACGGCTTGCTCAATAGGCAACGGTGTAAGGCTCTTTGGTTTCGTGGGGAAAAGATGAGACGCATCGTCCAGGTTTGCTGTGTCATTCTCTCCTATAGAAGATACAGACGAATTGTCTCGGAATGAATCTTCCTCCTCGTCTTCTGCCTCTTCTGATCGTGAAGCTTCGTCTTCGCTGCCATCGATTTTAAGGACGGCTGAGTTGGCATCTTCGGCATCAAAGAACTCGTCTGCCGTCGAGACAGTGTCTATACTCTTCCTTGACACGCCACCTGCGGACAAGGGCACTGGCATGCGACGGCGCTTACTATTGTTGATAAGTGTGGTGAACTCGGAGACAACCGAGTCAAGGTCCGTCAGAAGTGATTGACAATGATCCTGCAGCGAGTTCTCCTCTCTAACAAGCCCCTTAGATTGTCTCCTTGAGTGATTTGGCATATTGGCAGAGATGGTTGTAGTGACACCACCTGGTGCTGGTACTGCCATAGCTGTTGGCGCTCCCAGTGTGGCAGGGGATATCGCAGGGGTGTTTGATTTTCTCCTCCAGAAGGAGCGCCTCTGTTCGGGAGGGGGTGTGAAGTACGTGTCGTTCTCGTCGATAGCACTAGTTGCGGCTCCAGGTGAAAGATATTGAGGACTGGTTACTGGTGGCGGTTTTGCTTGGGCTGTGACCTCACGGGTCAGGCGTCGAAGTGCATCGCGTGTACCAACCACGCGGCTAACCAGGGATTCGACCTGCTCCCATTCCCTGTCTTCTTGAGGAGAGGACTGATGAATAGGCTGAAGCTGGCGTGTATTGATCTTCAAGTGATCATTCTTGGGGAGATCCAGCGTCTCCAAGCCCCTTGCAACGCGACTCGCCTTTTCGAGCGCATGTGCCCAGTCTTGGAATTCCTTATCGTTCGGGGCTCTCAAATGCCAGACTTCAGCGCCTGAATCGATGCTAATCTCTCTTCGTCGCTCATCTGCAGCGATGGCGGCTAAGCTTAGGGGAATAGCGCCTCGAAGCGCAGAAGATTTAGGGTTATAGTAGTACGACAGAGTGCATGTCGAGTAGTCAAGTGAGAAGAATCTGCGAGCATAGCCTTGTCCCTTCTTGCGACGCCTCTTGTGGAGAACACCTACATGGTAATTGCCTGAGCCAACCTCGCTACGAGCAGAAACGGAGTTCGCGTTTGCTACGGCGTTGTGACTGTGAAGACTGTCTAATGAAGCAGAGGTAACCCCGTCAAGTTTAGGGCTACTGTGCCGCCCGAGACTCGTTTGGCTGGCTCCAGCTTTCGGTGCTTGAAGGTTAGGCAGATGTGATGAAGTCTGCGGAGGTGCTCCCGTAGGATATGTCATTACCACGAAAGTCGCCGTCTTGGATGTCTGTTTCGAGAACGTGTTATCGAACACGAGGCCGTACATTCCGCTCTGACCATGATTGACCTCGTACGTGCCGATGGACACCTTATCCGCCTCGCATTTACCAATCCATTTGATGGGTATAAATCCTTTGCTTTTTAGCAGCTCTTGTGCGTTTATATCTTTCTTCGAGACGCGAGCAGACTTTCCGTCCGAGGTACCACCAGACTCTTCAGTTCCATTATTCAGGTCTTCGGCTGTGGAGGATGCAAAAGTGGTGGCACCGCTACCAGGATGTTTGACAATGCCAAAATTGCTGGAGTCATATTAGTACACAGCTTCATTCATGGGCCTGGGAAGGCTCGCGCCAAGCGGCATAAGATGGAGGTGCGTACATGGACTTCTTGTGAGGTTGTACGCTCCACGATAGTGTATTCCCTTCATCGACTTTGACCCAGCGAACAATATACGACTGGTTCCGTGTTAGCCAGAAGTTCATGTCGATTCTTCGTATGGTGCCTGGCGCGCAGCATCTGTAATGCAGGGAAAAGCTAGTAACATGCCTTGCTGTGAACTTCAAGCTGTTCAATGCCCGCCATTTTGTATGGTACTCTAGCAGCAACCAAAGATTTCGCGTCTGTGGAGGTTTCGAATATCGGGAAGCTCGGTGGAGGAATTCGTGGTGGAGTTGAGGGCCTTTAACGATTGACCATGCCAGCTCGATCTATATTCAGCTAAGGTTTTTCGGAGGACCGGAAACTGCGGATTGGGGGATGGCTCTTGTTGTTGACGAAGACAGGTTTCGACAGTCGAAGAGAGAAGTTGTGTGTGCAGGGGATGAAAGTGGCTGGCAAGTCCTCCTTATGTCTGACTGTTCTGCATACGTAGAAGCCAAGAGATTTGCCTCGAGTCCCAGAGGAGTGAAGGAGTATCCGTCCGCCGTATACGTGCGCTATACGTGGACAACTTGAGCACGTACGCACAAGGCAGCTACCCAGCGACTAAGCTAGTGTTTGTTGTGTAGTCGAGCCGTGGGCTCTGTATTGGGCCGAACAGGGGCCTTGGTGGAGGGGCAGTATACGGATAGCGAGGTTTCGCCTTACTGCTGACGTTGGAAACGGGGATTCTGCAGTTTGTACAGCCACCACAGCCACTAGGAGCCACAAATCCAGTCCTTTTCTGGAAAGTCTTTGGTGACAGGGACGAAACTGTTGCGAGGATGCTGTTCGTTTCAAGTGAACAATTCAAGGGTTGCAGTGGTTGGGAGGACAGGGAGGGCGGAGGTTGGGGATAAAAGCCCTGGCATAGGTAAGGGTGATGAAGGTGGCTGGAGGGCGGAAGAGGCTACAGGATCTTCATGGGAGTGGATGATTGATGATTAGATATCACAGAAGGTGTCAGGAATGTAGAAGCTTGCAGAGGTGGAATTTGATTATATACGAAAACCAACAAAGAGGACTCGCGATTACTATGTTAAGGTTCCTTGCCTCGGTAGGTTTGGTATGCGAGCGCAGCAAAGTGCTAGTTATTGCACGGTATGATATGACGTTGCATTCCACTTTATTCCGAGGCATAGGGGTTACATCATTTCGGATCTGGGACTGAGCTGTAACTTGTGATGTTGTTAATATGTATACCACCTAATTACATACTGCTGTATCGTGATACACGTGCCACCGCTTGGCTTTACAGCTCCAAGGTCTATGGGAATCCGATCTCTTGCACACTGCATTCTACACCGATGTTCCATTGTCCAATGTCTCGGGTGGAAGCTCACTGTCGACTAGGATGATCCTCATAAATAGCTTCCCGGCCCTGGAGACTGGTCATTACCCCACGGGCAATTCTCATTCCGGGCCTTGCCGGTCAATCCGAGCTACCGTGGACTGACAGATGCTATTTCCGGCACGTTTATGGAGTAGTCTTTGTACATACATATGTGTGTCTGCTCGTTGAATATGGTAAGGCTACCCGGAAGCCGAGCATGTGACTGAGGTAGGTAGGTAATCAAGCACACCTCAACCTTCGGGACACCTAACGGACGAAACTGTATTCGACATTTTTTTTATCGCAAATAAACTAAAATACCTAACGGTTGGTGACCTTGTGCTAATTCGTAGTTTTGGTGAGTCCGTAAGGCATCTTGTGGACCTTGACGTGAGACCTGTCGGCAGACCTTGTTTCTGTCAAAGGCTTCTGTCACAGGAACATTTCAGTATTGATTCTTCAATGCTCCGCGAGCTACATACGAGGGTCTAAAAACACATGATCAACGATGTTTGGCAACTAACCACAGGTTCACATAGAGTCACAGACTAGACGTGGCACGTATTAGTGGTGTCTCCCTTCCAATCGGGGCTTCATAATGAGGTTTGGTTGTATAAACAACCGCCTCCCAATGACAGTCAGTGTAAGACAAGGAAATAGTGCAAGCACTGTCTACGAGGTATGTATAGGTATGCAGGCATCGGCATTTTCACCCTATCAGCTCAATTCGTGGGACTACAGCAATCATGACACTGGTTCAGAACTGCAATATACCTAGGCATTACCTACAATATAACAACTGCTGGCATTTAGCGATGAACATTGCAATACAGTTCGTGTCATTTCGTCAACGGACAACCACCCTCACCAAGAAATAATTACAAATCACATCTTCTCAGCCCCAATCACCCTCGAGGTTCAACACTACCTACGGAGTATAGGAATCGATATCGGTTCTTAACCCAAACCCTGTCTCACCCACGCGACCTGCCCCTGACGCCCGTCGTCGAGCCAAGCACCAAAGTTCATCAAGACATTTCTACTGGTGGATGGACGAAGTGAGCCCATGCCTAATCCTAGTTGGGATAGACAGACGGGCCCTTAAGCAGCCAGACCTTACCATAAGTGACCTGTGGATCTAAGCGGGCAGCGAGATGTAACTCCACTATGGTTTAGGGGACGAGCCTACGAGGAGGAATCTCGTCAAGCTAAGCCCAAGGTCCAGGCCAAGCCAGGGGCTCTTTTTTGAGTTGGTATTTGGCTGACCCTTAGTTAGTTGAAGAACTTGAGAACGAAATTTCCATCTGCTTTTAGTTATGTTGTCCTGGTTTTCATCTTCCCCTTTTAATTCCCGAGCTCTGAATTCATGTTCAATCTCACAGTAAATCACTGAAACGCCGAGCCAGAGTGTGGCAAGTGCTTCTTCCCGCACCTGCATCCCGTCCGTCTTAAAGGTACCTACCGCTGTGACCTGAATCGCACGGCGCAACAGAAAGGAAGTACCCTTTCTTGGTCAACTTTCATCTTTTCATCTCCTTCTTTCCAATCTCATCAACGACTTGAACCGCCTCGTGTCGCATTGCATCGCTTCTTCTTTGTCCCTCCTTTCACCTGCATTATTGGTAATAAGTGCTTTTCTCCATCCGCGGCATCTGCTTTACATAACTGTTTGCTTCTTTCTGCTGCCCGTCGACAACCCCCGTCCCGGTCTCCGGCCTCCGTACTCCAGACCCCGATCACTGCACTTGTCCTGCACGAGCCCTACGAACGATTCGAGACGGTTACACTGCGAGACAGGTTCCTTTGGTACTGCAAATCTTCTAGAGATCACCAAAAACTTGATCTGTCAAGGACCGCCACCATGTCGAGTATCATGAGCAAGCGCCAGCAGGCGCGGAACGAAAAGGCCCTGCAGGATCTTGTGCAGAACACCCCGGGCAATAATATGTGCGCTGACTGCCACGCGCGTAATCCAGGTATGCTCCAGATGTACAACCAAGCTCATCCTGCGCCGGGTATACGAGATGAACGGGATTTGCTAACATCGATTGTCAATATCAGCTTGGGCATCATGGAGTGTACGGCCCCCCCAATACATACGGGAACTGATCCAATACTAATATGTTTGTTAGTTGGGCGTTTTCCTATGCATGAGATGTGCTGCAATTCATCGAAAGCTGGGTACTCACATCTCGAAAGTCAAGTCCTTGAGCATGGATAGTTGGACCAACGAGCAAGTCGACGTGAGCAACAACAACAACCTGGCGATCATGCCCAAAGATAACAAATAGCTTACACGGTCTATAGAACATGCGAAAGGTCGGAAATATCACATCCAACAACATTTATAACCCCGAGCATCGCAAACCTCCCGTTCCGGTCGACGCTGACGAAGCGGATTCTGCTATGGAGCGATTCATCAGACAGAAATATATGAATAATACTGTTAGTGGAACGGGAAAGCCTAGATCTCCTCACATAGGCGAAGGAACTCCTCCGCCACTGCCGCCTAAGAACTCGAAATTCGGATTCCGTTCAGCTTCATCTATTTTCCCTCTGTCGTCCAGGTCGAAGAAGGATGCCAGAACCATGACAGCTGCGCAAGGTGGACGTAGCGAGTCTCCAAGACCTCCTAATAAACCATCAAAAGTGTTCGGCGCCACCTTGGATCTTGATCAACCGGATGACATGGAGCAAAAGCTGGCTAGGCTACAAGACATGGGATTTCAGGACCCCAAACGCAATGCTCTGGTATTAAAAGGTGTTAATGGCAACCTCGAGCGAGCGATTGAGACTCTTGTGCGATTGGGTGAGGGTAGCGGCCGACCCTCACCTCTTCCCACCCCTTCACCTCGGGAACAGACTCTGCGAACATCAAGGTCTTTGACGCCTTTGACACCGAGTTCTGGCGGATTGGGACTCGGTGCAGGTCTTAGTGTTCCCGCCCGTTCAGCTACGGACCGTCCTACTACTCCATCAAGTGCTTCGACAAACCCATTTGATAACTTAGGAACGGCTCAGCCCCAGACGGCCCAGTCGACGGGAAGCCTTCATAACCGGAACCCGTACGGCCAGACAAATCCATTCGGCGTGCCAGTCGTTCAACAACAGCCGACAGATGCATTCAGCCAGGCATTCCAAAACATGTCTCTCTCTCCCCAGCAGCCTCTGTTCCCTCACCATACTGGAGGACCAGCACCACAGCAAGCACCACAGGCGACAGGATACCAACAAGTGGCACCTTCAGCGCCAACGACCCCAAGTGGCTTTTCAACTCTGGGCTTCAGTAACAACATGACATACCCACAGCCAGTCCAAGCGCAGGTGACTGGATATAACCCCTTTCTAGCGAACACCACAGGTGCAATCCAGCAACAGCCGCAACAAGGGTCTAATCCCTTCCCTCAAGTCAACACCAACCAAGCACCTGCTGGATACAATCCGTTCGCTCGATCCCCAACTCGAATCGCATCACCAAGTCTTGGCCAGATACCGGAGCAAACGCAGAGCTCATTTCAAAACGCAACTGTTTATCAGGGATCTGCCGTGTATCAGAGCCCGGCTCCTCTGAGCCCCCCAGAAACAAGCACGAACCCGTTTTTTGCAAATGCTGGTCAGCCTGTGGCGCAAACAAGTCAACAGGTCTTTGCGCAACAACCTGTCGTGCAACAGATGCAGAGCCAACCTCAAGCAAGCCACAACCCCTTTGTCCAGCAGCAGCCTGGACAGCAATTTCCTGGACAGCAGCCTCAAATGTACCAGCACCAGGAGTTTTACCAACCTCAAAGACCAGATAAGGCCTCGATCATGGCTCTTTTTAATAACTACCCTCAAACGATACAACACCAGCCAGGTACGGCCGCGGCTCAGCCTTCATATCAAATTCAGCAGGCCGTACAGTACACCCAGCAGCCAACCATCCCAGAAAACCAGCCCCTGCAAGCTCCAATGGCACCCGTGCAGCAGCAACCCAGTGTGCCGCAGCATCTATCAGCTAGCACGAACCCTTTCATGAGTGGTGCGCCTTCTTCCGGCGTGGCTGGTAACCCAAATGCTGCGACCACTTCAGACCCATTTGCTGCAAGGAGCAGAGAGAGCATGAACCTTGGCCTTGACCTTGCGTGGACAAATGGGCGACACAGCCCAGATGCATTCGCAAGCCTTAGTGCACGACATGGATGATGGTACGAGACTGAAGCAGTATTGGAATACGATGTGTTCAGGATAGTACAAATGTGACATGGGAGATGTGAAGTACACTGTATGATAGTATTAACGTTGGTTCTGGTTTCTTGTTGAGACTATGTTATTGCCATTTGGCTGTGGTCTTTCTTTATGTACTCCAGGGCAGGGTGATTGATAGGGACTGGTCAGGATTGCTGGGGTATGGCAAACCGGCCTTGACTGAGCAATTGGAGATTGGAAGACGGCATTGAGGATAACATGGCATAATGGTGTGTATAGACGGAGGGACAGACGATGATAGACTTGCTGAGGTAGTCAACGGTGACTCAAGCGTTGAGGGAGTACGGGAGCGATATTCCCCCTCCTATGGCATTGGCTGTTGCTGAGTCGACTAATTTGAGCCTTGGCATTTTTGCGACTAAAATGGCTCTGTCGAAGATGCTCTAACTAGATGCTGTCCCTTGGTGATACTGTTTGCGAGTGTCAAACTCTGTTAGACTGTCTCCACATACCGTTGGTCTCGTGAGTAACATGATGCGCCCGGACAACGCAAGGGATCGAATTGAGTATCTCAATTGTTGATCATGTCTCTGGCTGCAGCAGAAATACAGCCGAACATGGATCCTTTTGGTGATGGTCTCGGTCCGGATATGTAGCCGATAGAAGCAAAACGCGGGGTTTGGTGAGGTACCTAGTAGTGGCACCACCACTTGGGGATCTAGCACATCCACCAATCAACTTACACGACAGAAGGGGGTTAATTAGGCTGCTCGGAGATGTACATGCGCAAGGTAGGGTTGGCCGGGAAAGTACTAATGTATGTCTCTTGAAACCAGTCCCTTGATTATCCCTAGGCGTGAAAGTAATCATGAATTTAGAGACAAATCGTGCTGGGCCACAGAACCATGATCGAATTAGGTGATGCGATGTGGATGTTTAAAGTAGAATAAAATGGGTTTGTGGGTAACAAAAAGCTATAACGGAGCCAGTGTCATGCAAATCTGGAGGAAGCCAGCACGCAATGTGTCTGTTGTTATTGACAGTTGTGGCACTGCACGGATACAGCGATTGCTGTACGGTAGAATGCGAAATAGCGGCGAGTAGGTTGTTGTTGTGTAAGCGCTTCAAGAAACTCTGACTATTGTAAGATGATTGTAGAAGATTCTCGACTCTTCAGACATGCATGAGGGGCTGGCACATTCGACGATCTGTGTGGGACAGTCTTGGAAACGTTGTGTGTAACGGTGCTGTGTAACCGAAAGAATATGTATGGTGCCTCTCAGGTGTCAGAAGCCTTGAGACCCTTGCTTCAACAAACCGATCAAAGAAGTGCTATGTTGGTCCTAAATTATCTCAGCACTGTCTACGTACGTATAATCATCATCATAAATGGATTCTGTTCCAGGTAGCGTTTCTGCTATACCCTACATACAGTACTAGGTTTGTCATAGTACCTAGGCATAGAAATGGAACTCACCTCACCATAGGTGCCCATTGGACTAAGGTACCTAATTTGGGACGAGCAACAAAGTCAATTCCTTCCTGTGACAATCAACACACTGAACTCGAACATTTTGACGCACTGACAACTCAGTTCCGTGACTAGGTACCTACCCTACTTACCTATTCTATTGTCTGGGTCAAACTCGTGGCCATGGATGACTAACACGGAATATTCTCCCTGCTAAGTAAGTAAGTATATAGATAGCTTTGCATGATCTCAGTTACAATTTACAGTTCGGCCTCTGACCATTACTCTGTTGCCAGCTGGTTGGTGTTTATCAACCAGTAAACTAGGCCATGTGCTACGGAGGCGTTCGCCTTAGTGCGAGACAGTGCGCCAAGTCGAGACAGTGCTTAGGTTGCTGAGATATTTGTAATGAACGAGTTGAGAATAATCATAATGACCACTATCATGAACTTGCTGCCCCATTGCGTCGATCCCTTTGGCAGCGAATCTATAGAGTCTAATCATGTGATACAAAATGACGATAGCAACGGGCATTGCATGTTATTTCCACCCATTTCTTGAGTTTGGTTGGCCTGGGCTTACCTCACATCAGTCGTTGCCAAGATAAGATAGTCGCACTGTACTTGGCCATGAGTTACTACCCCGGCTGCAATTGTGGCAATCCTTAGGTCCCTCCACTGAGGGTGTGGACTGTGGACCGTGGACTGCCTGAGGTGTGCACAAAATTCCAGAGCCTCAGGTGAGGGGTCCACCCAAAATGCACTGTCCCTTCCACCCCGAGCGCCCCGAAGTCACCAAATTCCTGGGTTTCTCTCCTTCCTCGTTCTTACTTAACCTCACCGCTGCCCAAACACCAGAGATCTTACCTACCTAGGCTTACATCTACACTCATACATACAACGAATCCAAGACATTCTCCACGACTCACTCAAAACACCGTCGCAAACTTCTTCGCACGTCTCCACAACTTGTTCCTCCACATTCGTCTCGAAGCAAACAACCCACAACAGATTTCTTTAAAAGCATTTCCAACCCGCTGGTCTGAAGAGTCATCTCACGACACGCTATCAATCAACTTCTGCCGATCAGCATCCTCGACTCTTACCGACCTATATCAACTCTAGTCAATAACCCGAGGTCATCATCATCAGAAATGGCGCCAATGAATAATCAGAATTTGAATTACAGTAGTAATTACGGCGAGGCCGCTGCCCAGAAGGTCGACGTCCTTGCCTCTTGCTACCTCGTCGACTCTGCCGCCAACCTCAAGGGCCTCCACTACTGCACTACCGGGGTTGCAGGTATGTTCTCTCCTTTCAGGCCCAAATCCTTATCATGGCACTAACTCTACTACAGGGGCCGAGTGGTATTCCTGAGGTCCCTTCCTCAGGACTACCCTCCCCTCCAACAAGCCCCCCCCTCGCCGCACTAACCTCGTCTAACGAGCTCGCCCTTCTGCCCAAGAGCAAGAAGCGCGAGATCCCAGGCCGGCGCCTGGGTCGACGAGGGGGGGCAGCACTTTCGATCAGGGAAGAATGTGAGAGATTCTTTTGCGAGTCCATGAAGATGATTTTCCACGGTGAGAGGAATTCGTCCATGAATGGCTCCGGCCTGTCTGGTGCTTTTTTACCAACGCCGCCGTCCGATGACCGGCTCCCCGAACACTTCAAGGCTGTTTCTGATGACAAGTTACCCGCCTATAATGTTACCGCTTGGCTGGAGATGTGGGACTATGCCGGCGGAGCGAGCTTCCGTGCCTTTGTTGCTGACGACGGAGAGGAGAAATCTCTCTTTGTCTTCTTCGATATCGAAGGCGTACTTGGCCGAGACCTGAAAAAGGCGTAAGTAAAACTGCTTCCAATTCTTCTGTCCAACTTCTAAATATTTTGTAGTCTGATGGCACTTATCGAACTTGCCGACGGTCCTCTGGACTGTGCCCACGTCATCACTTGCATAGATAGACGCATCCCTGCTGACGACGTCCACTATTTAACAAAGAGTCTACAGTGGGTTGGCTTCGACATGGTTACTCTAGACCACTGGGCTCATGGTCTTGATGTCACGAGCAAGAAGTGGATGTTGATGGGTATGGAGCTATAGGTATCAGCGCTTTCCTGTCCTTTGTGGAGTTAGGGAGCGGACATATTTCCTTAGTTTCCGCTGTGTTATGTTTCGTTCGTTGGTGTTTTCCAAATTTTCGTCTGGATGCTTGCTCGGCGATTTGCTCTGCTATTCTTGGAGAGATCTGGTGACAATGGGCATTGAGTGGCAGAAAATGTTCGACGGCTCCAAGGCTTTTTGGCGCATCTCTCATTTTCTTTGGACTTTAAGGGTGTAGGAGCTCAAAGGTGTTTGTATCATTCTTCATCTTTCACGGCGATGACTTTCAATGTCATACAAACCTGCTAGGTAGTTGAGATAATACCGAAGCAATTGTGTGCGAGTCAAATAGTGTCTATTATCTGTTGTTTTGTTCTATCATTGACGGCTCTAAGATCATTCCTCAAATTGTCTAACTTTGAGACCCCTTTCCTTCAAATAGTCCTTTACCTGTTTAACGGTGTACTCGCCACGGTGGAACATACCGGCCCCCAAAGCAGCATCCGTAGTAGTCTTCTCAAAGACTTCCTCGAAATGAGCCGGGTTGCCAGCACCGCTTGAGGCAATGACGGGGATCTTGATAGCTCCCTTTACCTGGTTGATGAGCTCGTGGTCAAACCCACTATTGGTACCGTCCTTGTCAATGCAGTTGAGAAGGATCTCTCCGGCTCCCATTGCTTCAACGGCTTGGGCAAGCTCGACAACATCTATGTCACGAGTCTCACGACCACCCTTGATTGTGCAAGCGTACCAACAGTATTCCTCGCCCTTAGGACCAGGGAACTGTGTCTTTATGATGTTGTGACGGGTTGCATCAGGCTTGGGAACATAGACACGCTTGGGATCAACGCTCACAACGACGGCTTGGTTGCCATAGGCGCGTGAGATCTGTTCAATGGCAGTATTGCCGAAGAGCTTGCGGCCTATAGAGTAGTACTCTTCAGCAGCAAGAACAGCGTCGGAACCGATTGAGACCTTGTCAGCGCCAGACTTGAAATACATGCTCGCGATCTCAAGGGCTGACACCTTTGTGCCGTCAGTATCCATGGTGTCACGAATACCACCACCGATAGTCAAGGGCACAAAGACGCTTCGAGACGTTTGACGAAGAATCTCGAGCATAGGGAGATCGGCAACGGGGCAGTCTCGGAAAGAAGTGATGTTAAGGAAAGTCACCTCGTCAGCACCGGATTCGTAGTATTTCTTAGCCATCTCGACAGGCTTGCCGAGGTTTCGCACGTTGCGGTCATCACCCTTCTCGCGAACATCGTACTGATCACCCTTTGTAACGACCAAGTCACCCTGGTCATTTGTCCTCACATCTAGGCAGGCAATGACTCGCCGTGTTAAGCTGTCCTCGAACCTGATGGGGGCATTGGCGACAGCCTCGTCAACCACGGTACCAAGATTCTTTGCGCCTTCACCTGTGAGGAAAGCCCGGATAGTTTTCAAACCTGCAGTGCCAGACTTTTCGGGGTGAAACTGGGTTGCAAAAATGTTACCCTTCGCAATGGCGCCTACGAAAGTCTCAGTACCATAGGTTCCAGTAGCGACAGTCCACCCCTGGGACTCGAGCTCGCCCGGCTTGTAGGGGCACTTGTAAGAGTGAACATAGTAGTACTTTGAGTCTGGTTGAAGATCGTACATGGCTCGTCCAGCTGTAAAAGCATTGTTCCACCCGATGTGGGGGACGGATTTACTGGAGTCTTCGAAACGATCCAAGGAAGCAGGAACGACTCCGAGGCCGGGGATGTTGGGGTCCTCTACAGAACCCTCAAATAGGGCTTGTAAGCCGACACATACAGCGAAGAATGGCTTTCCATCAGAAATGTGCTTTCGAACTGGCTCAAGATAGCCAGCTTGGGACAGTTGTGATAGACAATGACCAAAATGGCCGACACCGGGGAGGATGAGTTTCTAAAAGCGCATCAGTCATGGTGGACAAAAAAAAGGATGTATTGACAAACCTCTGCCTTTGGGACGTCTTCCGGTGATCTGACCCATTCTACTTCGTAGCCAGACTTCTCAATGGCATTTACCAGGCTCCTGATGTTGCCGGCGACATAGTCCAACAGGTGAACAGTAGGCATTGTGCCCTAGATGTGATGGTATATATAAAGAAGATAGAAGGTATAAAGACCAGATATGTTGGTTGGAAGAGGTGAATTGTGACTGATACAACACTATGTAAGACCGGATAATTGTAGCGATAGCTATCTCTATATCAAGTCCAGACAGAGGTGTTTGAAGTCGTCAAGATAAGTGTGACTGTTCAAATCCCATGGGACTCATTGAAATGTTGTAACAGCGGCAGCGGGGCAATCGCGAGCCACAGAAACTGCCCCGCCCGATCCCTGTAATTCTGGACTTTTCAGAAAGTGCCGCCTTTGACCGACTTCCAGACCCTGTACATCCCCCAATTGGCAAGTAAGTACCTTTACCATGGAAGCTAAAGTTCGCGACTGCATGTTTGCAGTTTGTCAACATACCTAGGTAAGGTAGGTAGGTAGCTACTATAGGTATTTGGCTTTTTGAACTTACCTATCTCCTCAGGCCTATGTTACCTTATATTTTTCTTCCTCTATTGACACGACCAAGGCACCAGTACAGCATTGCAATTCTATTTGTTCAGTTTCTCTTTCTTAAGCATCTATTCAGTGGCTTTCCCTGCCAAATTCCCTGAGCACACTATGGCTTCGTTGGATGAGGCGCGGTTGGCAGATAAGGCAGCCATTGTCAACATTGAGGAACAGCTTGAAAGGGACGAACAAGAAGAGTGGGAGTACGAATACTCAACCACTGAAACAGAGGTACTGCTACACCTCGGTCTCAAGATACCTATCATGCGCAACCAGCTAACATTTTACCACAGACATACTATTTGACTGTCGATCTTTCATTTCCAGAATTTAAGGATCGACAACCAAGAGCGCCTCACCACAGCCGCGGCGGGTATTACAAAACCTGGCTCGATCACAATCCTAGTTTGAGAGGCGTTCATGCTGGGGATGATAACGAAGATGATAATGACAATGAGCCACTCCCAGAACGAGAGGCTGATGACGACGAACCTGAAATCGACCCGGCACTAAGAAATGACAAAGATAAAGGCAAAGCAGTCGACAGAGGCGAGCCAGAGGACGACACAAGAGACGATGTGGACAAGACACGTGGTGAGAGTGAAAATATCCAGATTCTTGAGCTACATTCAGAAAAGCCGGTCATCTCATACAAAGGACGCACATTCGAGGGGTCGTGGGCGGAAGTCATTGGCACCGAAGCTATCTTTGCGACACGCGACAGCGGCCGCCCCCTCCCCGCTCTGCGCCATCTAGATGGAAATATTGATTTTCTCGGTGCATGTGCGTCGAGAATCGCCACCAAAGAGACTGTTGTGAAGCCAAAAGTTATCAGAGAGGATCCATTGGCCGCTATCAGGGAGGAATGGAACATTCGAATTCCTGTTGGAAAAGACAGGTCGGGAGAAAGAGCTGAACAGACACGGTTCCTAGAAAACTTGATGGCGATCAAGAAGAGGAACAAGGAGAAGGATCAGGTCACCGTATGGGCTAAAGACGGCGAGGGTCAGGACTTCAAAGACAACCGAGACCCTGACTACAAACCTAGGCGAAGAAGGAGGTTGCTCAATGAAGATGGAGAGGAAGTCATTCCAAAACGCGAGAGACGACGTGCAAGTGGGCGTAGGGGCGGTCGTCCCAGACTTCGACCCGGGGTTGTTCGTGGACGAGGGTCAACGGCCCCAACTCCATCGGCAACTAGAGATCTGGAAAGTACCGTGCATGAAGGGAATATGTCAACTCCTACTCCAAGCAGATGGGATGAACTGCACGGAAGAGCTGATGAATACATGGATCATTCTGACGATGAGGATGACACGGATGAAGAAGAAGAAGAAGAAGAAGAAGATGATGATGATGATGACGACGAGGATGTGACAATGGCAGATTGAATAACGGCAATAGTTGAGCCCCAGAAGCATCTAGTTGACATCTAGCGCATGAGATTATGATACCCGTGGTGAACTGTCGCCAACAAATAATAATAAGGCTCAATATGCCCTACACTTCTATTTTATGTATTAAGCAGGTTGCAAGCATGTTCATGGCGAAGCTACAAGGCGAACGTGTAATACACTTGAAGACTGCACGAGGGCTGCGATCAAGCTGCCATTGGTTAATGAGTCTTGGAGTCAGCATTATGCGTATGGTGAACACTGCGAAAACATACTCCATCATACAAAATTCCTCTTATTATGTGGCAGTGATAGATTCGGTGATTGTTGGGTAACTAAAGATGTTTCGTTGAACGGGGCTTTTCGATCAAGCCATTCAACGATTCTGCGATCCATCCAGGGTAAGAACTTAAACATAGGAAAGTCCGCGTATATGATAATTACCGCTAGCTACGTTATGCAAGAAAGCATTTGAAGATTCAGAGTCTCTCCTTTGTGAAATCAAGGCTACCTATGAGTGCATATGAAACTGCCACGGTCGATAACACAACACTCGTACTGCGTGCGACCTCGTGGATCGGTGGGTGATCATGAGTTCACCTCTAGTGTCGTTGATTTTCGCATCTACTTCGCCAAAATCGATACCCAAGTCATTCCCATGCAGCTGGAGGGTACTGTGACTCGTAGACACAAGATTGATCGTGTCGCCCAGCACCAGTTCCCCACATCTCTCGCACGTTATATGTTCTTTACCGCAGATGCACATCTGTTGGGGAATGTTTATTCTGACGGTGAACAAGAGTCAGTTGTCTTTCTTAAGTAGGTATGGATCATGGGAACGATTGCTGAAGGTGTCGTACTCGGGACTGTAGGTAAGTACTGTAAGTACCTATACCGAGCATATAGTACCCTGGTCACTCTGGCTGAATTCCCAGTCTTTCGGCGGTCAGCAAGTGGTAGATACTTTATGTTGAATGGGTAATAGGGCGGGTTTGAACGTATCCGTTACACGGTCTTTGAGCCAACCGGCCCATTCCAGAACTGCAAGCCGGGGCTGCAAATGGATCTTGGAGGCTAATAATAAGGTAGCAAGAGGGGATTCCTGTTCATGTTGCGCAAAAAGAGGGGTCCTGGCGCTAAAACACGATCAAGGAACAGTCCGGGCAAGGAAGGCTGTGATGTCGTTTCTTATTGGCGTCAGGGGATCAGGTCAGTACCTAATAGGGTACCTGAGTCTTGAACTACTAAGACATATGTAAAGAATGTAACATAGGCGCGAAACATTGGTGAAGAGAGTTTGAAAACAAAATCTAAATTTATGCTATGCTTCTCACTATAGGAATTATCCGCCGGCAGTTCTGTAGTAGTAGACAGACACTTCCACTCGAGGCTGATCAAGAAGTCTCGGCACGGAATATCCATAAATGGACATATCCGCTTTCCATCCCGTCTACCCCAGACAGACGGGACTTGACGTATTCGTACTCATCACCAAAGCCCAGATAAGGTACGCCAGAAATAGAACGCTATCAAGTACCTTAGTACCTACACTCATACAAGTCTGTGAATGCAAACTGTAACTATGCCTCCTGCAGTTCCACTTCCTTGAGTGTAAAGTATCTGTACCTGCATCCCCACCACCCTCCACCGGTTACGTCTCACCAACACTCCGCCACCAATCGATACCCTTGCCCTGTCGTCAACTACGCAGCGGCCAAAAAGTATCCCGTCCTAGACTATCTATGGCGCGCGCTTCTTTTCTTCTGTCGACTTAGCGGGAGAGGCTTTGTATTCCTTCATTCTTTTCTACCCTAGCCTGGCCTTACTCCTCTTCCCAACGACATGCCGCGAGCGGTGTCGCACTTCTCTTGTTCGTTCGTGGTGCTCATATAGCCGGCCTATCCAGTCCCATTCGTCTTCCTGGCCTTACTTCGATACTCCCCCGGCTTGTCGTTGGTCTACGAATTCGAGTCTCTTCAGCTTCAATCGCTGCGCAAGCTACGTCCATGTCCATGGGCTCTTACAGTCCATTATTGCTACAGCCATGATTTGGTTACGCCGCTTCACCATATTACTCTCTTTCATGCTGCTTATCTCCTTTGGCGCATGGCTGCTACCCCGTATACTAGACCCAACAGCAAAAGGCCCTGAGAGGCGCGCCAGAGATCGACGATGGGTAAACAGCAGCCCGTACTTTCTGGATCGTCAGGCCTGTCGCTGGATTAGTCTATGCGGACTACATCACTTGCGCAGTGATCCTGCCTCTCGTGGGAATAATGAGGATGAAGAGCCAGAATGGGGAGAGCTCAAGCGTCGCTCTCTTGCTTGGGAGCCTGATGAGATTCCCCGTCAGAATCGCAAGAGAGATATCAGTCAACGACGCAGGGTCCTCCGCGATATCCCCGACTATGTTAAAAAGCATGCGCCGTTGGTTCACCTCTACTCTGGGGAAGAGTTTTGGCCTTCGGATATTCGTCAGCACGTAGAACATATGACTGCCTACGCCGATGACGAGCCTATTAACTCGACTGAGAAGTGGACTCTTCATAACTTGCACGAGCTGAATAAGTATTCTGGCAAGATCACTCTCCGAAGTGATGACGATGTCGAGTCTCGTCCCAATTGGCTGCACAGCCATTACAATGTTCCCAAACCGTTTCCTGACGACAAAGATGGTAAAGATGATGGCCACAACGGCGATATACCGGTAGGAAACCCCGGAGGAGAACCCGAAGCCCGGGAGCCCAGCACCTGGTATGATGTCGACAAAACACGGCCTGTCCATAAGATTTCTGACCCTCGAAATCGTAAATTACACAATCGTCGTCGTTCGGAGTCCAATAGTCACAAACCGGATGCCAATGGCTACTCAGCAGCTCCTGCAGTGCTTGTTGTGGTTGATAAGGGGTCAGGCATTGTTGACGCCTTCTGGTTCTTCTTCTACTCCTACAACCTCGGTCAAACTGTCCTGAACATTCGGTTCGGTAACCATGTGGGTGACTGGGAGCACTGCATGATGCGCTTCGAGCACGGCATTCCCCGTGGTGTCTTTTTCTCAGAGCATGAGGGTGGGCAGGCGTACGCATTCGAAGCTGTCGAAAAGCGCGGTGGCAGACC